GGGGGCTGAATTTTCTTCAGGTGCAACCCAGGCACCAGGACAGGTGAAAGACGGAGGCAACCCATGAGGAGCAATCCTTCACATGCTCTGGGGCAGGATGAAGTGAAATGCAAGATTCTTTGGCCAGGACTGGGCTTTGCTAGCACTGTTTCTGGGCTCAGCTAGGAGACTGAAGCGGAAGAGAAGCAACTGGGGATCCAGAGGAAGTGTTCTCAGCTAGGTGGGGATAGAGTGAAGGAAGAGCCCCGTTTTGAAAAATAAAGCACACCATTCAAAAATAGAACACTTTATTGAAGACAGATTCAATAGGTCTGTCCTACCATGGCAGGAGTCCAGCCCCATTGAACATATCAGATACAATTCAGTAGAGGAGGTATCTCCACAAGACACAGGATACAGTGCAGTGAGGCAAAGGAGTGGCCCCTGTAGAACATAGGATACGTGCAACTGGAACTCCATGGGGCACCAAGGATATAATGCCCTAGGCTGGGAAGCTCCCAGTGTGCTGTGATAGACTATCCAGGGGCCCAAAACAGGAGCCTTGAGCTGGCTGAGCTGGCCAGGCAACCTACATCAGAAGGTCCTCAAAGCCTTGCACCATTCACTCTCCCACAACCTCCAGGGCCAGCTTCCAAGCTTCAAAGCAAGCCAGCAAGCAGCTCCCCCTTTGACACTTCACCAAGAAGTAGGTTACACAGAAGACAGCCCAACCGCAACAAACAGCAAGCACACAACCCCAACCCTAAAACACAGCAGAAACACCTTTGTTCCCCAGCAGAGATCTAACCGCAGCCTTAACACACAGCAGAAACACACTTGCTCCCCAGCAGAGAACCCCAGCTAAGTTCTCCTCCCCAGTCCCAAGAAAAAGCAGAAACATGCTTGCTGATCCCTGCTTTTCAGGCATGACTCACAGCAGAAAGCCCAGCCCCAGTACATAGCACAGACTCTACTGGCCCCAATCTTTGGCACATAGCAAATCCCCCTACTGGCCCAGGCTTCCAGCAATGACTTTCCTCTTCCCCCCCTCCCCCCACTTCATAGGCCCAGCAGCCACTGGTACCCCTTATCCAGTCCCCAGTACAGATTCATCAGAGCCTCCCACTGTTAGTAGGGGATTCTGGCTCTGCTCAACTCTGCAGTAGCCTTGGGAGAGGTTACAGCAGCAGCTTCTGCAGATTCAGAGCAAATGGCCTGGCACTTGCACTGAAGGAGGCCTTGTTGCTCTCCGTGTCTATTAAAACAAAAGGCTCAACATTTAGGGAAGAGCAGCCTAGGAAAAAGAAAGAGCTCCTCTCCCTCTAAACTCCCCCTATGCCCCAAGATGCTACACCATATGCAAGAAAAGCAAGTGCTATAGATTTGCTTTGCACAAGGATGGAAAGAGGCTCAGCCCCACCCCTGCCCAGAGCTAGCCCAGATGAAGGCTGCCTTTAGCATTACTGAACCCTGGCTGAGCACAGAAGACTTCCAGCCAGGGCAGGGCAGGAAACCATCTGCCAAAAGCACTCGCAGGGGCCAGGCCCTACTCCTTTCTTCCCCATTACTTGGCCTTAAGCATACCAGCCCAAGTGGAGGGGACTGTCACTGCCCCTGATGCTCTCAAAGTAGGTCTCCAGCCCAGAGCTATTGAACCATTTGGGCCAGGGGTTTCAGATCAAGTTCCTTGGGCCCTTCATCACTGCTTTGTCCCTAACCAAGGGCATGCAGGATTCCTTTACATCAGTACAATGTAGTTGGATCCCAATTCCCCCCATGTCTACTGCCATTTTGCTGAGGAGTCCAAGGGTTATCTACCAGAGACATCAAATCTCAGGTCAAATGACTTCAGTCCCTCCCCTTCTCTGACCCATGAATTTGATGCCGTGGCTAGGGGCTTCACAAGTCCTCTGCCAGCCCCCCAGGCCATTCATGCAGAGTTAGGGTGGGTCTGTGCTTATTCCCACACCTCTGTCCAGATGGCACCCCTGTGCAGAGGAGGTGCAGCTACTGGGCTCAGGAAGAGCTCTCCTACCTGCTTGTTGGTATATTTCTGGGGATTGGTGCGGTAGCTGTAGTCTGAGTACTGTTCAGAGCCTGTTGAGTTATTGTCCCCAGTGCCAACAAAGGTGTTTGTAGCAGGCAGATCCTGTACCACCTGGTGTTTTTTGGAAGCAGATGGAGACTGAGGCTGCAGCTGGATGGAGGGCAGCGGTGAATTGGAGCGGTAGTGGCGCCCCAGGTCCGGGCTCCCAGGTGGATAGTTGAGGGGTAGATGGATCCGGGGGCTGTCACTTACAGAGTCATTCATGAGGTTGAACTTGAGGGATTTTTGCAGCCCTGTCTCCTCTTCATCCTCTGCTGGCTTGGGTGGCTTGGGAGACTTGCTCTTCTTCACTTTGTTCTTGCTCTTGCTGCTCTTGTTGCCCTGTTTTGGTGCATACAAGTCCTTGGTTTCTTTTTTGCCTGCTTGGTAGCCACTCTTGGCCTCCCGCTGCCGACAATAGCGCACAAGAATGACCAGCACGATGACGAGCGTTACAGCCACAATGCCAGCAATGACTCCAAAGAGGATGTTGCTGCGTTGCTTGCTGCGCTCATATTCAGGATCCCCAGCAATGTCTATGTCCAGGGGTGTGTCCAGGCTGTGCCCCACTAGGGTCTCCAGCACAGTGCGATTAGCCAGCGTCTCATTGACATAAAAGTGCACCAGTGCAGTTCCATGGCGCGAGGGCTTGCCTTTATCATTGACACGCACAACTAGGCGGTGCAGGCCATGATGCTTGCGTAAGATCTCTTTCTCCAGTGTGATATCCCCACTGCTAGGTGAAATCTGGAAGAGCTCAAAAGGGTTGCCCCCAGTAATGCTATAGATCAGCTCTGCATTGACCCCAGAATCAATGTCCTCAGCCTTGACCTTGCTGACCTGTTGCCCAGGGCTGGTGTGGGGCAGGATGTGTTTATAAGAGGCATTGGAAGGGGAGGTGATAAAAGGGGCATTGTCGTTCTCATCCAGTACATTGATGGTCACTCCCACATAGGCGGATCTGGGAGGGTCCCCTGCATCCACAGCCTTGAGCCGGAAGGTGTATGTGCTCTGTTGCTCCCGGTCAAAAGAAATACTGGAGAGGATGGTGCCAGTGCCATTCTGGATCACAAAGTCCCCATTGTCTTGTTCTACTGAAAGTTGGATGCGGGCATTGTCACCCTTGTCGGCATCAATCACCGTCACCATACCTACTGGGCTCAAAGGTGGCATGTTCTCCATCACCGAGAAGTTGTAGCCACTTAACATGAACTTGGGGTCATTGTCATTTTTGTCCATGACATTAATGGCCACAGATGCTGTACCCTTGAGGCTGGGACTGCCCTTGTCAGCTGCCACCACCAGGAACTCATAGCGCTCCCTCTGCTCCCGGTCCAGCACCGTCTTCACTCGGATTTCACCAGAATCAGGATCAATAGAAAATATACCCTTGGAAGAAGGATCCATCACCAAGGAGTAAACAAGCTTGGCATTAGAGCCACTATCAGCATCACTGGCACTCACCTCCATCACTAGGTCATCAAGGTCATTGTTTTCAGGGAAGGTCACTTCAGTGAAGCTCTGGCTAAAGACAGGGGCATTGTCATTTACATCCACCACCTGCACTTTAAGGGAGTTAGTGCTGGAGAGGGGTGGGTTTCCTGAGTCCACAGCCACAATTTCAATGGTGTACTCCTTCACTGACTCATAGTCCAGTGGTGTGGTGGTTTGCAAGAAGTACTTCTTCTTGCTGTCACTGCCCGTCTCACTGGCCTGTCGCAGCTGGAATGGAACATCACCAGCAACCACACAGGTAACCACAGCATTTTCTCCTTCATCCCGGTCAGACACCTGCACCAGGGCCACAGCCGTCTCCACAGGTACATCCTCAGAAATGTTTGCCATGCCGTCTTGGTGGGTGACAAGACCAATGCCTCGGATCTCAATGGAGGGGGCATTATCATTCATATCCTTTATGGTCACCACTACCTGAGTACGGGCACTCTTGGGATTAGCCCCTTTATCCTTGGCCAGGACAGAGAACTTGAGGATGTTAACATCCTCCCGATCAATGGGCCCCTGTACAGTGATGAGGCCTGTGGCTCTATCCAGGCGTAGCAGGCGGCGTACCATGTCTGTGGCCTGGTGAAAGGAATAGTCAATTTCGGCATTGGCGCCCTGATCCGAGTCATTGGCTTTCACCTGCAAGTAGGAGGAAGAGAAGGTGAACAAGAGTGGAAAGGACTGAGCACCCCTAAGAGTCAGTACACTATTTCCGGCAGCCTCCCCAGGAACCAAAGCAATAATTCTTTCCCCAGAATTCCTCTTTAGGGGAGCCCAAAGAAGAACCAGTGTTTCCTCCTCCATGGACAGGACCTATGCAGTAAGAGCCTTGTGACTTGGCAGACTGTCCTTGGGGTGAGTCACATCCTGTCCATGCGATTCCTGTGAAACTGGCCTGACTGGTAAAACTCTTGTCACCCACTCCCTGCATGCTGACAGCCCTGCTCTGGTATGTAAAGAATCCTCCAGGTGAACCAGCTCAGTGATCGAGGAGCAGTTCTCTGACTCGCAACAACAGGAAAGAACTGCCAGAGACTAGAATACCACCTACCTGGCTGGCTGCCAGGTAAGCAAGCCTCACCCTGCTGGGCCCTCCCATTACATAGGAACAATACACAGCCTGTCCCTGCACGCACCTTGGTTAGACTGGACTCAGCTTTGCACACATACTCCAAAAAAAAAAAAAAAAAAAAAAAAAGCTGCCAGGTAAGCAAGCCTCACCCTGCTGGGCCCTCCCATTACATAGGAACAATACACAGCCTGTCCCTGCACGCACCTTGGTTAGACTGGACTCAGCTTTGCAGACATACTCCAAAAATCTCATTACCCAGAGCTGGAGATACAAACAGAACGCTATGCCAAATGCAGGGTTAAGACCCACAGCACCCTTCTGGGTGCTGTTTCAAAGCAGAGAAATCATCTTACTGCCCTATTCTTAGTCCCCAGTTCATCCTGATCCAAAGCCAGCTCCAATTTGGGTCAGTTCAGCACAGGGAGCAGCATCTGATTTAGTGATTCCTGGGGAAGGTAGCAGGGGACTGAGAATAAGCAGTGAGGCATATCAATACAGCTGCAGGGAACCCTGGACTAGTATAGTGGGGTGGGAGAAATCAGGTCAGGATTACAGAGTGGTAGCAAAGCTGGAATGCTGTGCAAGGATACTGGGGCTGGGATGGCAGAGAGGCTGTGGCAGAAGGCAAGGTAGATCTGCACCTTATAGACTAACTAAATCAGAGATGCATAACATAAGCTTTCACAAGTGGGCTTGCATCATCAGATGCTGATGGGTCAGGATTGTGGAACAGCAGCAGAAATGAGGGTGAAGCCCAGGGCTGAAATACCAGGGGGAACAGCAGGCTGGAATTACAGGTCTTGGGGAGAAGGGGACAGACCCCTTCTCATACACTGCACAGCTCTCCCTACCCTTCCCTTTCCCAAACTGCTCACTTTCAGGAGCCCTGCATTCACCATAAACCCATTTCCATGTTCATTATTTGCTTTCTAAAGAATATAACATTTGTCTAACATTTGCTTTCCTAATCATCTCTCCAAGCAGCCTCTTCTCTGCACCATTTGCTGCTCTGCCTGTTATCTCACTCAGCAGATTTGGATAAAGAACGAAAGTTGTTAATGTAAATTCCACCTTTTACGACCACTCACAAAGAAGGCGGAAGTCATTTTCCCCCTGAAAGATAAAAGCTGAGCAATGGCAGCAGCAGCGCCTGGACCCATTCTCCTCCCAACTGCACCATGGCCTTATCTGTTTCCAGCTCGCATTCTCTTCACAGTGAAAAAATGAATTCTTAAAATTCACATCGAAATTAGCAAGCGGACGAGTGCCAGCCATGCTCCACTTATTAAGATGGCAGCTGCAGATAAACAGATGTCAGCTACCATCAGCTCAGTGTCCCCTTCAAGCCATATCCACAGAGATCCACCCCCTCATTCTCCTTCCATCCAATCAAGAGGAAAACAGGATGCTATAGCTGGGCTCGAAATTCTCTCTGCAGAATCTGTGGAAAATAAGGCCTCTAGCTGCCACAGAGCTTGAAGCCTAGTGGTGGCACATACTGGGCAGGAATCCCAGGCATACCAATAGGAAAGGCTAAGCAGTGACATGGGGAGGGATCCTGGTTTTCTCTGCTTAAAAATCTAAAATTCTCTGATTAAAACCCCCAGAATCCACATTTTTCTGCAATTAAAATGAAATGCCACAACATATATAGGTATCAGTTGAACACAAAGTTTTATTGAGATGTTTACAATTTTAAAGCAATTTGGAAGCCTATTCATGCCTCAATCATTATAATAAAATACATTCTAGATGCCTATATATTTTGGCGTTTGATTCTGGGTTTTTTTTATTGCAGAAAAATCAGAGCTTCTCCTGCCCCCTTCACTCACCAGGACTCAGGTCCAGCTGTGGCTGTCCCCCACACTGCTTTGTGGTGCTGAGCAGCCCTGGTATGTCAGTACCCTGCCTCTGCCCTTGCCTTTGCCCCTCACTCCCAACCCACAGGCCCCTGGCCCTGCTAGTGCCCCTCACTCTTAACCCAGTTCCCTTACCTCCCCCCCCTCCCCCAGCCCTGCTGATGCTCCTCACTCCTGACCCACAGCTCCCTGGGCCCCCCAATCCTGTCGGTGCCCCTCACCCCCAACCTGCTACCTCCCCAGCCCCCCCCACCCAGTGTGTGAGGAAGGGGCCGAGTTTTGGGGAATGAGATGGGTGTGTTGGGGGTCTGGGTATAGGTGACCTGTGGGGGGGTGGTCACGTGCCTCTCCAGATTTCTGCATCCACAACGAGGCATGGGGTGCAGGGCTGTAGCCTAGCCAGACCAGCTTGGGGCAGGAGCTGCATCTGCAGCCCAGAAGGTGGGACGCAGAATGGGAGGAAGCACCACACCACCATGGCCACCGAAGTGAGGCACACTCTGTATGCCCAGCAGCAGAAGGGGCACAACTCCATGTCTCCACCACCACACCTCACCTTAGCAAACATGGTGATGTGGTGCTACTTCCCGTGTCAGGTCTTGCTTGCAGGGGCTACTCACATGTACATAGTAACCCCTGCTCCCTGTGTCCCACTCCCCCAAATCCCAAGCAGCCTCTCATAGGCTGGAACTCTGCCAGCCTGAAAAGGGAAACCTTTAAAAGAGAAAATCCATGTTTTGTTGCATTTTTCCCCATGGCAAATGGAAAGCCTGGATCTCTGCTCATGGGTCCCAGCTAAGCACAAATTTCCTTGCAGCAGCCAAAGCGGCTGGCTACTGAAGGAAAGAGTCTAATTTCCCATCCAGAGCTACCACTAACACAGAGACATTCAGTAAGCTTTGTACATGCAGCTGTAGCAATGACACTCTGCCCTGACCCACACTCCCCACTCTCAACCCTGGGCTCCATATAGACTCTGCAACCCCGATCTCGATCTCTCCCTGCTACCTCAGCCCTGGGCTAGACACACAGCACAGGACTGACAGTGCACCTCAGCCTCTCCCTCACAACCTAGACACACAACACAGGTCTACCAATGTCACTCAATACAAATCCATAACTCTCTGTTATGCCAGCTCTTTATATTTTTTTCAGGTCCTAATCTAGAAGATTGTGATCACTGTTTAAAGGGAAGCTACCCATTTACTGGCATCAGAGTTTTACCCTGGCACTCCCTGTGCACTTACCTGAAGGACAGAATGCCCAACAGGACTGTTTTCTGAGAGCTCGGCTTCATACAAGGCCTTTTCAAACTTGGGTGCATTGTCATTCATGTCCAGGATAGTGATGCGCAGAAGGGCACTGCTTGCCCGTGGAGGGTTTCCCCCATCTTGCACTTTGATGGTCAGGTCATATGAGTCCCACTGCTCCCGATCCAGGTTCCCCATGACAATTAGCTGTGGCTGCTTCTCATCCTGATCCTCGGCCACTTGTAGCCCAAAGAGCTCTTGTGCTTCAGGCCCTGCCATGAGCTCATAGGAAGCCACACCATTGGGGCCCGAGTCACGGTCCATGGCCAGTGGGATGGGAAAGAGAGCCCCAATGTTGGTGTTCTCAGGGATGGCCAGTGTGATAACAGGTGAGGCGAAGTTTGGTGTGTTGTCATTGACATCCAGTACCTCAATCTGACCCTCTAGAAGGCGTGGACTGCTGTTCATTATCAGATCTGTGATGGATACCTCAAACTCCAGGAAGCAAGGATCCCCTGGGAACTGATGCTGGCACTCACGTAGGTTCTCCCGGTCTATGGAAGTTTCAGTGGTGTAAATGTCCCCCGTCTTGCCATCCACACGCAGATACGGGGCCCCCACTTCCAGCTTATAGAGGTGCCCCACATCTGGAAAGCCATAGTCAGCAGCTAGGCTCCCAATGAGTGTGTTCGGGGGTTGCTCCTCCTGTACCTTGTAGACCACACGTGTCCCAGAACTTGAGGCAGGGAACTGAAGGAGGACCCATAGGCCAAGGCAGGATGCCAGCTGCTTCATTCTGCACCATAGGGGGACTGCAAGGAAACACAGACACCAGAGATTAGGGACCCCACATGCCATTCCTTAGAACTGCTCCCCACACCCTGCCCCACCTCACTGCTGCACTGTGTCCAGCCAGGCTGGGAAGTCACAAATTCACCGATGCTCCCAAGAGTGGCCCAAAGCCTTTGGCTCAGGGCATCTGTGCCATTACCCATAGCTGTGGAGGCAGGGGCTCTACATTCTCACCGTTGACAAGCTGGTCACAAGAGCTGTCTTTTAGCAGCCTCCTGGTAACAGGTGTCCAGGAGAACTGATCTCAGCTTGCAAAGGTCTTGCTACGCCCTGCCTGAATAAGCACCACAGCCATCATAACCCAGCCCAGTGCTCTTGTCACTGACAGGAACCTGCTACTGACACTGCCCACCACATTAGTCATTGTACAAGTTGTTATTATGCCCAGCTAGACATACAAACAAGACAGGAAGAAGAAAAAAAAAAAAAAAAATCACCCACACCACTGCATTTGAGCCAGCTAGAGGAACAGGCTCACATTGCAGATAGACACAATGAACTATTTTACTGCAGAGGCAAATACTGCACACCTCTGCCCAAAGACAGAAACACTGCCCCCTCAAAAACACTTTAAAGACAGAGATATTACACTCTCAACACTGCAGAGACACCTCTTGCACTAGCCACAAAGAAATGCATCACGTAGATTAGCACTACAAACAGAAACACTGTATACCAAGAAACTGTAGATGCTCCACATTCCAGTGATTGAGATACTGCACATCCTCCTGCAGTGTAAAGACACAAACATGGAATACAACCCATATGGCAAAGACACAGGAGAGAAAGACACTGCATACACCCTGCACTGCATAAAGAGAGATCCTGTACTTGCATATACAAAGTGGTTCTCAACCTTGTTAGGGGAGGCACATGCCCTCCTCCCCCCCTACCCCATTAGATAAAAGGCACCTCTTTGGTAGTGCCAGCTCATTTTCACTCATTGTTTGACTACAAAAAGGAACAGAGCAATCCTGTTGCAGAAAAACCAGGAAGACCACAACAGAGCAGAATGGTTCTAGCACCATGGACTCGTATTTGAAATCTCTGGGTTTATCTCATGAATCATGTTTGCACACCTAACAGTGCTAACATTGTATGCCCCTCCCCAACCTCCCAGCACCCTCAAAATAGTCTCAAGGTACCCTACAGTGCTGCAGTACCCTGGCTGAGAATCACTGGCATGTGCACATGCGCATTAACACTGCATATACACTACATACTTTGTACCCCAATTCTGTGGGAAGGGACACTGCTGATCCCAATGCTTGCAGAGAACCAGTTGAAGAGACATTGCATATGTCCACACTAAAGAGATAAAGCAAGACACTTGGCAGACACGCTGCACTTCAGAGACACAGTGACAGAGACACCCCTTCAGACTGCACGGATAAACTGCATCCTTCTCACACTGCAGCCACATGTAGAGAAACTGCATACACACAGAACCACTGTAGAAATTGAGGAACTGTCAACACACACTGTGGAGACATATATTGCACACATACTCTCACTGCAGAAACACTGCTTACCACCTGTACACGCTGCTCACCCCTCTGCATTGCAGAGAAACACTGCAAAGATGCATCCTCTGCAGAGAAATCTGCATGCATCTCCCCACCTCTCCCCAAATGCCCACATAACAAAAGAACTAGGTCTGGCCCTAGGACTCTTCAGTATACAAAACAAGAGACCAGGCCCTGCCCAGCATGCAGTCAGAGTTGGTGCCTACGGTATCTCCTACCCTAGCCCATACTAGCACTATCTATGGATGCTCCAGCTGGCCCTTAGAGTGGAAGCACTGACTGCTGAAGGGTTCTGTGTATGCATAGGATGAGCTGTGTGGACTCATCCCTCTGTTCTCACTGGGGCTTGTCCACGAGTACAGTCTGGCTTCGTGGTAATGGGCCGAGAATTAGGGTCCCCAAGGAAACACCTCCCCCTGCCTCATGCATACACAGCAAGGGAGTACCTTGGAGCTTTTCTCGTCTGTGCCTTGTCTCTACGGCTAGCAAAACTGCTTAACCAGCAATGCAAACAACAGAGATGCTGTAGCTCCAGTGCTGGGGGTGTGGCAGATGGGTACCACCTTCTCTCTCAGCAGAGCTGAAATGACTATGCTGCTACTCTACCCACTGGAATGGTCTGCCTCTGTCAACCCAGTTCTCCAGGCCTTCAAGGCATAAACAATCATCTCTGCAACACAAAGATATCCCTCTGCAATGCTTGTACCATACACATGAACACAGATGGCAAGCCACCTAGTCCCCTCATCCTCCCACATGGCAAATCTGGCCCTTCCATATATAAATCTCTCCCACTGCACCCCGACACAGTTAGCTATGCACATCACAGGGCAACCCCCACACTACCAGATCCACACATAGCAGGATCCAGAGAATTGAGTCCTCTCACAGTGCATAGAAGTCCTCATGTCATCCCTCCCTGCAAAGAATGACCCCATAGCACCTAATAAGCCTCCAAGCCATCCCTGTAACCTCCACAGTTCTAGCACTGCATCCCCAGACATTTTGAAACTCCGAGCACATAAGAAACCCTCTGAATCCCTTCTCTGCCATCACATTACCCACATTACAGAACAAACAAAGCACTCACTCATTTACCCTTGCCACTCTGGCACTTGATGGGCCCCAGACTCCTGTTTTACTCCCAATAAATGAACAAGCCAATAAACAGCAGCAGGAGGAACTAGGTTATGCAGATAGATACTGTCTTGAAACGTGATCACAAGTACATTCCTTAAGCTCTTGGCTCTGAGGTCAGGTCACAGGACCCTTTTGTCAAAAGGCAGCCCCATCTACCCCTTCTTCATTGCCAGAGGAGAGAACTTCCAGCTGCACAAGTAAAATCCATGGGGCACCTTCTGTTACCCTACTCCTGAAGTAATGCCCATGGCTCCACAGCCTAACTCTCACCTTCCCTTGTGTCCCTGGATCCAAACTTCTCCCAGAGTTCAGCCTAACTTTGCTTAATGCTTTTCACACAGGGCTGAGAAATTACCCACTACTCTGAAACACTGCTAGGAGAAGAGAGCTGGGCAGCATGAAGTGTGAGGTACCAGAGACTGTAGTGACAAACAGCTTATGAGTTTCATATGCACAAGGCAGACATTTGTCCTAGCAAGGTGTCATAGAGAAAAAAAAATCCCTCCTGGCAATAAGGAACACTATAGTCCAACCCTGCTATGCCTGCAGCAAGCCTCTAAAAGGCAAATGCACAGGGAACAAAGGCAAATGAAGCAGCACCCCCCACTCCCTCCCCAGCAAGAAATAAAGGCATGTGGACACTGCTCAGACATGGAGAGAAAAAAAAAGGCTGGAGGCAGTCCAAGAGTACGTGGACCTGATATGTATCAGGTCCACGTCCACAAGTAGGCGCATATACATGCCTCAACTATAAGCATGGGTACCTATTTCACTATCACCCTGTTGCTTAGTATTATTTTAGAAAATGGCCATATTAGGTACAAATAGACAGACACCATATAATCAGTGGTAATGGGAGATTAAACCAAACAGTTTCCATGAATTGGTAGGGAGTGATTCACTTTCCTGGTAAGGCCCTTTCAGCTACAGTCAAACCTGAACAAGGAAATCCTGCTGCAGTGTTGTTTTCCCACCTGTATTTGCTTTAGGCTTGGGTGTGTCAATGACCCTGTACTGTTTCTTACTAATACTCAGAAAGCTGAAGCTCATGGGCAAAGGTGAAAGTCCTGGGCCTAGTGGCACCTGTCCCTGGGCCTAGTGGCAGCCCTGAATTAACTGCAGTACAGTCTTTAAGGGGCAGATTCTCACGAGAGTTAAAGCTCCCATTCAAGAACCTAAAGGAATTACACAGCTGTGAGCATGCTCACCATCCACAGCACCTACTGTAGCACTGCTCCTCAAGCATAGGGTAAAGCTTCTCTATACCAGAGACAGTAATCTGTCAAAAGACTAGACAGAGACACTGGAACAAACCCGGAAAGGCTCCAACAACCGGAAAGGCTCCACAAACCTACTCCAAGTGCCAGAAGCACTCCTCTCCGCTGCCTTTGCTAACAGAAACAAAGCAACATAGCCACTGAAAGAAAAAGAAAAAACAAACTCTTCCAATACAAAACTACTCCACTACACACAATTCTCCCCATGGAAAGAAGATGAGAATGAGCCCTGTATAAGAGATGGTAATGTCATTACTTACATTATGACAGTATCCAAGAGCCTTTTAGTCAGGCAGTATATGCTATAAAAACCTGCAGAGTTGCAGCCAAATAAGGTTACAGGAATATTAAGAATGTAAAGTCAAGAATTAGGCAATACCTTGATGCAGTTGCCTTTGCAGCCTTAATTTAGCCCCCTGCTACATGCACCTTAAATCACAGCCTTTAATTACAATCACACTACTTTTCCCCTGGACCTGTCTACCCCAGTGTACAGGATAAGACTGTACTCACCAAATGGGCAGCTATTCATTACTTATTTCCACCCTCATCATTAAATGTGTGGCTCCACATCTTATTTATGGCCACCATCCAAACCATGCACTGAATACAGAAGTATTTAATTTTCTCATGAGCTTCATCATGAGTTAATCTCTGTGGAAGTTCATCTCTGTATGAAGTTCATCTCTGCAGAAATAACTGAATGCTTCACAAATATTAATGAATGCTGTAAAATGAAGTAGCATAGTTTTCCTATTTTATACATGGAGAGTTTAATCGCACAAAGATTAAAGGCAAAATTATCCACTGATTGTTGTGTCCAATTTGAGACACCTAGGGCTTGATTTTTCAAACTACTGAGTATTGCATAGCACATCATATGTTTAAAGCATAGATAGTTCCCATGGACTTCAGGTCAGAATGTGTATAAGTTTGGCCTCAGGAGTCTCAAGCTGGTTACTCAGAAGATAAAGAAAGCCCAGTCATCACCTGAGAAATGTTTGGGTTAACCATGCACCACATGGACATTGTGGAGAGAAAAGAAGAGTCCAGATCACTATGGCAACATGCAAGTAGCCATTCTTTCTCTCACTGTAGTCCTGTGACTTACTACACACCTTCCCCCTTCTGCAATGACTGAGGCAGGGGTCCTATAGACAGTTGCCTATGCTACACAACCCTGATTTACAGAGTAGGTACTCATGCAATTAAAAAGATACCATATATAAAACTGTTGCATCAAAATTCAAGGGCTACCTTATGTCAGGCATTGTCCAACTTTTAAATGATCAATCTTCGAATCTTGAGGAATAATGATTTATTTCTGTTATTTTTTAAGCCAAAACAAAAACAAAGAAAAAATAATAATAATGCAGAAACATTCTGCTTCTTCTGACATAGGTCATCAGCATGGATGGAATTTTTAGAATCCACTATACAAGCTTTCTACTCTGTAAGATAGGGGAATTATCCAGCAGCAATAGAAGGCTGTTCTTCTCCATATACAGAAGGCAAATACCTGGTGTGCAAACTGCAGACCAACAGCATAAGTTTGGTGAAGTCCCAAGCAGTGGAAAGCAGGGTCTTCTAATGAGAGATGCTGGGCAACCTCAGCTGCAAATAGAGCTACCTACAGCCTACAACTAGGCAGGCAAAATGACACGAGATATCCAGGAGGCAGCTCGTGGCTCCCAGGTGCCAACGTCTGACCTAAGGTAACAACACCTCCAGGCGAGCCCTGACGTTCCCTAGGGAAAGCGGGTGCAAGAGGCGGGGAGCCGCACCACCCATGGGCGACTGCTTGCAAAGCAGCAGCGCCTGTCGCGTCCCCGGAGCCGCCGTGACGGGGCGGGGCGGAGCGGCACAGACCCGCCCTGCTGCTCACAGCCGAGCCAGGCTGGACCTACCGGCATCTGCGCGGCAGACGCTGCAGGACAGCCGCTGACCGGGAGCCCGGACTGGGCGGAGAGGCACCGGGAACAACTTGGGCTACGCCGACGGGAAACGCCAGCCCGAGCTCCTCCCGCCCCCTTTGCTCAGGACCCGACCTCTGGGCCAAGCCCCGGCGGAGCAGTCCGAGCCTCCCGCGGGCACAGACACGGCGGCTCTCCTCTGCCAGCTTCGCGCGCACACAAGCATGCACGCACACGCGCGCGCGCACCCCGCGCTGCGTGCGTATGCACACGCTCCCTCTGGT